CTTGTTGGAATTTTTAAGCTGCGCATATATGGACCTGTCTCTTATACACATCTAGATGTGTATAAGAGACAGCACACGGAGGGTCGGTGTGAGTAAAGTTTACCACTTTTCTTTCTCAGGAGTATCACTAGCTCCGGGCGATGTGGTCAGTCCTCACCCGTCAGTCAAAGGCATCCTGGAAGTCTGTCGGGGTTGAACATCCTCATGAGCCGACGAGAGTCCGACTAAACAGCTTGGGACAGTCGTGCTTTTCTGTATTTGTTCATAGCGAGCATGACAGCACGCACAAGCACACGCACACGCACACGCACACTCACACGCACACATAAGCAGGATTCGGTTCAACACATGCGAACAGACACTGTGACAGTAGCCAGAGCACGCAGGTGCGCCGCATGGCACTGTCGATGCGGACGCGCCATAGGTGCACGGACCGAGTTAGTACCTGACACTGGCTGACAGGTAGAATTCACAGCGCGGCAAGGCAACCTTCATCGTGTCCTCAGATGCCAGGTAACTGCAGTCCGATAAGGAGCCTGGATTCCCTTTGGACAGGCGGTACTTAGTTTTTTCAAAGAACCCCTTACTGCTCCCTGATGGACTGGAAGACGTGACAATTGCGGAGGCCACGGGCAGCAGGTGTCCAAGCGCCACGACCATGGAGGACGATGGTGAGCATCGACCGCATAGCCACATCCACCACAGCGGCTGGGAGGACACAAAAGGAGGACACAATACGCATTTCCGTTGTCATTCCACCAATGTGGGTTGAAGACAATCGCCGACGACGGGGTGATAAAAGTGGTACACGAACCGGCCTCTTCCTAATCAAGGGGGGGCCAAGTACCACTAGCAGCCTTTCCTCAACTCCTGAATCTAGTCTCTAGACGTGTTTGTGGAGATGTGCAGAATTAGCGTTGAGTTTCCTCAACTGCCAAACTCCACAAACATGTCCAGATTCAGGCGTTGAGGAAACTCAGCGCTGCTGGTAGGAGTGGGCCCCAGGTGTCGATGGCCGCTTCTCCATGCGTGCCCAAAATGGATGGGTGTCGATGGCCGCTTCTGCATGGCATTGCGTGGATTGAACCACGAGAGCCTCTACGGGCCACTACGGGAGGGCCCAAATTCATCCGACTAGAAATGCTTCTACTCTCTACTATACACGCCGCGGGAAGCTTGAATGCACGGCCCACTACGGGA